TTTTTACAATAAAGTAAGCTTGAAAAAAAAGATTATTAAGGAAACTACAAGGAAGAGAAAGTACATTTACAGTGCTGTTCTGTATCAGAAAAATCCTTGTATAAGTTGGCCTGCACATTTAAACCCGTGATGTTCAAGGATCAATTGTAATTGCCACATGTGCTTAATCGCTACTATATTGGATAGGGGTGGGAATAGATGATCTAAGGGCCCTCCTTTATTAGCCTCATTTTAAATTTTATTTTTATTTTTTAAGTAAGCTCTAGGCCCAATGTGGGGCTTGAACTCATGACCCCAAGATCAAGAGTCACATACTCACCCCCCCCCACTGAGCCAGGCAGGTGCCCCTCACTAGTAGCATGATTTCTTTTAACGGATGGTAATAGCTTTTTTGGGGGGGGGGGAACAACATGTTCTTTCCCAAAAATTCCTAAAATACAGGTCAGTAAAATACTCCCTGGGTGTGTATCCTTCCAGAATTATTTTTTCTTGCATATATTTTTAGAAAATTGGATATCTGCTGTTTTTCCTATGAGATACAGTCTACCTCTGAAAGCATATGATCGTAATATTCTCACTGCTGTTGATATTTGATCAGGGTACAGGAAAATGGCAAAAGGTCAGGATGATCACGATCAGGATGTGCAGAGAAAGCATGCCTAGAGTGTGGCGGACTGGAGCCTCGCTGGAGGTCGAAGCAGGGACTTTGCCAATAATTCTGTTCTAGGGCTCTGAAAGAACGGTCCCAAGTTCACTGCAACAAGCAAGCTGTGAGGTGCTAAACTCAGCTTCTTACCTCAGTACGACTTCTAGTCTTGCCCTCTTTGGAGCTCAGCTTTAGAGATTGGCCTCTGCATCCTCTTAAAATCAAGGGGTAGTGGAAGGGGAGGTGGGCAGGGGTATGGCTGGGTGACAGGCACTGAGGGGGGTACTTGACGAGATGAACACTGGGTGTTATACTATATGTTGGCAAATCGAACTCCAATAAAAAATATACGTATAAAAACAATAAAGTCAGCCTGCAAAATCCCCTAAAAAAAAAAAAGATTTCCTCCTGTTTGTCTCTCTCAGGCAGGTCTTTCCCAACCCGCTTGTGATATGTTTTCCCACAGCTTTCTCTCCTCTTTTCCCAATACCACGCTGCAGTTCTTGCTGCTGCCTGGAGGGTTACAAAGTCCCTAGGGATATACAAATAAGAATAAAGTTCCTTCCTATTTCTCTATTCATCTTTACACCTAGACTCAAAAAAGGTAATTAGGGGGCCCCTGGATGGCTCACTGGGTTGAGCATCTGACTTTGGCTTGCATCATGATCTTGGGGTCCTGGGATCGAGCCCCGCATTGGGCTCCCCACTTGGCGGGGAGTTTACTTCTCTCCTCTAAACAAATAAAATCTTTAAAAAAACAAAAAAGAAAGGTAATTATACATATGAAACTAATGTAATGCTGTATGTTAATTATACTTGAATAAAAAACACCAGAAATCATAACTGCCATCTTAACACTTAAAAAAAAAAAAGGTAGACAAAATGGAAACACAGATGCTAAGAGGTAGGTAGTTGTAGACCCAGAGAGCTGTTTTGGGAATTTTATGTAGTTGATAATGACACTCTGAGTTAAGGACAATTTTTCCACCCAGGAGGGGAGGGAAGGTCCTCTGGTGGGGTAATTGATCCATGGATGCCATTTCTATGCAATTGCGCACTTACACCTGTATTCTAGCACGGTGGACTGTAGCATTTTTCCTAGATAAATCTTTATTAGCCTCCATTGGAAAGGTGGCTGTTTACATGAAAAAAGCCTCAGAAGAGATTTAAGCTAAAAACCTTGGGGGCAAACAGTATGAAGATTTGGACACCAGTGGAGCAACAGTGTCTTGCATGTTTGGAGTTTTCTTTTCTCTTTCTCTATCACCATAGTCTTTGGATCATGGTTTTTTTTTCCCCATGATTCCATACTTTTCTGTTCTCAGGTCTTTTTATTCCTTTCCTCTTTTCTTTCTTTCTTTCTTTCTTTCTTTCTTTCTTTCTTTCTTTCTTTCTTTTTTTTAGAAGAGGGTCTTTTGGAATTGGACTGTAATACCAAACTTCTACAGAAGGTGTCACTGTCTACTTTGGTATATGGTGCAGATCTTTTACTGTGATTCACTAGCCTGGAAAGCTTCAGGTTTTTTTTGTTTGGTTGGGTGTTTTGTTTTGTTTTGTTTTCTTTTTTTTTTTAATTTCTTTTTTTTAAATTTTTATTTATTTATTTATGATAGTCACAGAGAGAAAGAGGCAGAGACACAGGCAGAGGGAGAAGCAGGCTCCATGCATCGGGAGCCTGATGTGGGATTCGATCCCGGGTCTCCAGGATAGCGCCCTGGGCCAAAGGCAGGCGCCAAACCGCTGCGCCACCCAGGGATCCCTTGTTTTGTTTTCTTGATGTTAATTACTTCTCTGTGTTTGAAACTCTGGGTTTTATTTTTATTCATTTATTTTAAAGATTTTATTTATTTATTCATGAGAGACAGAGGCAGAGACACAGGCAAAGGGAGAAGCAGGCTCCATGCAGGGAGCCCGACACGGATTCGATCCCAGGTCTCCAGGATCACACCCTGGGCTGAAGATGGCGCTAAATGCTGAGCCACCAGGGCTGCCCGAAACTTTGGGTTTTAAGTTAGACTAAAGAGTGTCTGTAATTTCCTTAAGATGAGAAGTAATATGCTAGAATTTTTGCATATCAGAAGCCATACTTAGATCTGTTTAATTTGCAACACTAAGTAGTTTTGGCCCAGTTGTGTTTTTAAAAAATGATACTCCATAAAAAATGGACATGTATATAGAAGCATATGATGAGAATGGAAGTATATAAAAGTAAAAAGCCTTGTTATCCTCATTCTCAGTACTCAGAGGTATTTGATGTTATAAATTTGTTTAGAATGCTGAACAAAAATGGTTTCATAGGCAACACATTGTTCTACTACTTGGTGTTTTTAATTCCCATGGCTCATGTCAGTGTGTATAGATTTTCAGATTTTTTTAAAGAAGGATTTTATTCATTTTTTAAATTTTTATTTATTTATGATAGTCACAGAGAGAGAGAGAGAGGCAGAGACACAGGCAGAGGGAGAAGCAGGCTCCATGCACCGGGAGCCCGACATGGGATTCAATCCCGGGTCTCCAGGATCACGCCCTGGGCCAAAGGCAGGCGCCAAACCACTGCGCCACCCAGGGATCCCAGATTTTCAGATTTTTTTAATGACCTCATGGTATTACCTTGTGCAGATGAATTTAATTTAAATAGGTCCCTGTTAATAGACTTGGTTGTCTCCAGTTTTTCTTTTTTATAAATAGTTGATACACTGAACCTCCTTGTATGTACCTTTGCATATTGGTAAGTGTTTTTATGCACCAATTCCTGGAAGTGGAATTGCTGGAGCAAATGGCACATGGGCTTACAATTTTAATAGGTATTGCAGTATCATTTTCAGGAGAGGTTATGGTTATACCAGTTTATACTTTTACCAAGAGTACTTGTTTCCCTCACTTTTGTCAACATTTATCATCAGGCTTGAGTTTTTGCCAGTGTGAATGGGTAAATGGTAGAAGCTCATTGTTTTAGTGTTTCTCAGATTGATAGCATTTTATATGTTAGGCCTTCTCTTCTGTGAATTGCCTATTTGTGTTCGTTCTTCATTTTCCTATTGGATTCTTAGTCTTGGAACCCAATATAATAGGAATATTTGTTACAGATCTTTTCTTTCAGTTTGGGGTTCATGATATGCCTAGGTTTTTACCCTTTCAAAGAATGTGAAAATATTTATTCTACATTTTCTTCCAGCCTGCTTATGGCTTTATTTTTTACATTTAGATTTTAATCCATCTGGAATTTACTTTTGTATATGCTGTGAGTTGTAGGGATCATACTTTATTTTTTTTTCCCAAAATGGTTAACTACTTCATTGAATAATTTGTCTTTTCCTTACTGATTTAAAATACCATCCTTATCATATAGTAAATCCTCATATTTTCGAGTGTTTCTGGGCTGTATTCTGTTCCTTGGTCTCTTTGTCTATTCCTGTGCTGGCACAACATTGTTAGAATTACTGTAGCTTTGGGCAGCCTGGGTGGCTCAGTGGTTTAGCGCCGCCTTCGGCCCGGGGTATGATCCTGGAGTCCCAGGATCAAGTCCCACATTGGGCTCCCTGCATGGAGCCTGCTTCTCCCTTTGCCTGTGTCTCTGCCTCTCTCTCTCTCTGTATCTCTCATGAATAAATAAAATCTAAAAAATAAAAAGAATTACTGTAACTTTGGTATGGTTTGCTCTCTGGTAGGGGAAGTCTCAGCTCTTTTGTTCACCTGCTCTTTGGCTCCAGTACAAATTATGGTCATTATCACCACCAACTACAGTAGGTATGGATGGTTTCCCTTTGAAACTCCTGTAAGGATTTCTGCTGGAGTCTATGATAACAGAAAACTGGGAACCTAAGAGGTATGCCTGAAAAGACTAATCAGACCTGGTTTTCCAGACTGTTCTGAAGACAACTTGGGCCTGGGCTAGAGTTTCGAGGACAGTATTTTTGGGGTTGAGTAAGATACAGACCAGAACATACAACTTGCTTGATTCATGGGATTGGTCTAGGGCCAGAACCAGACATCTGTCGTGCTAATAACTTTCTTCATGGTTAGGAAATCACCATGACCGAAGATGGGTGGCTGCTGATACTGCCCATTCAAAATTGTGTGTGCCCTATTTTGAAGACTCTTAAGAGCATCAGTAATGGCCAATTAGAACTTTGAAATTTTTACTAATCTCTTTACTAACTTTACTAAAAGTTACCTTAGTCGTTCATTTCTTGAAACATAATTCTTACAATTTGTATCATTTAGAATATCCTAAATGCTATGACATTTGATAACTAATTTCTTAAATCTTCTAGTTCCCTTTCGATAATTTGAAATGTGTGTACATACACAAAAGGATATACGTATATATTTATATCTTTTTTTTTTTAACTAGAATGACCAGTCAACAGGGGACATAAAAGTAATTGGTGGAGATGATCTCTCAACTTTAACTGGAAAGGTATGTGTCTTGAGAGGGAAGAAAAGAGTTCTCTTGACTTCATGCCAGGAGTCAATTAGTAACACTGTGCTTTATCACTAAGAGGCAGTTTACACAGTTAGTTATGCACTTAAACAAGGCTATTTAACCCTTGGAAGCGATCTAAGTTAGCTGTCTTTCCCTAGGTCATATAGCAAAGAGGCAGCAGAATCCAACATTAAACTTAAAGTCTGGATTGCAAAGGACTCCTGTCTTCCTCTGTGGTGATCTAACTGGGAATTCTTCTTTGAAAGTAAAAATATGGGATCCCTGGGTGGCGCAGCGGTTTGGCGCCTGCCTTTGGCCCAGGGTGCGATCCTGGAGACCCGGGATCGAATCCCACGTCGGGCTCCCGGTGCACGGAGCCTGCTTCTCCCTCTGCCTATGTCTCTGCTTCTCTCTCTCTCTCTCTCTCTCTCTCTCTCTCTCTCTCTCTCTCTCACTATCATAAATAAATAAGTAAAAATGAAAGTATATATATATATATATATATATATATATATGTATGTATTTTGGAGAAAAGACTGTCTTTTTTAAAAATAGACTCACAAAGCAAAACATGCAGTGTATGTAGTATCATGTAGTAGCTGTGAAAGTGTAGGTTCTAGAGATAGGCAGCTTTTTTTTCCTTAAGTAAACTTTACACCCAACGTGGGGCTCAAACTCACGACCCCAAGATCAAGAGTTGCATGCCTTACCAACTAAGCCAGCCAGGTACCCCAAGATGGGTAGCTCTGATTCAAAGCCGGGTTCAGTACCTTTTCTGTGTGACCTTGGGCAGATTATTATTTAACCTATTTGTCTCTTATATGTAAGATGGGGACGATAATGGCAGCCAACTCACAGTTAAGAGCATTCAGTGAGATAATGCATATAGACGTCTTAACAGCAGCTTCTGGTAGTTCCGAATACTTAGTGAATTCAAACATACTACTATTTTAAGAAATCTCAAAAAGAGTTTTTTAAATACATCAAGATTTTGCCAGTATAGGCAATTGGCAGAAATAATAGAGGTATTAAGATATTTGAGTATGATTCTTCTGATGCATTGAAATGATTTTCAAGTACAATGACAAATGATAGGGTGCTATGTTTTTTCCAGCTGCCAGTTAGTTTTTCACTTGTAAACACTGCCAAATATAAAGGCATAATCTCATACAAGTTTCATAACAGTCTCATGAGGTAGATACCGTTACCCCTATTTTAACCCCTATTTTACAGATCAGGAAGCTAAGACTCAGCAGATTTGAAGGGCTTGCCCAAAGTCACACTGCCAGCAAGTGGTAGAGCTTGAATTTAAATGCAGGTCTTTCTGACCTCAAAGCACTTTTCTTCCTCTGGCTTTTAGATTTTAATATTTACAGCTTACTTGACTGAGTATCTGTTAGGAAACTTTAGCCTACAGCAGTTGTATCAAATCCTCTGATCCCATGTCAGGGTTTTGCCAAACTAATCTTGTCCTCCTCAACATCTTTTGAAAACTTCAAAAGAGAAATTATAATCTGTCGACTCTTTCCCCTTCCTGCCCATCCTATAGACCACTGCCAGACCTATTCTTTCCTTTCAGCACACTTCGCCCATATTTAGAAGTCATTTGAAGCCCTTACTCTTATAACCAGTGTTTAGTGTTGGAAGGGGCCTAGCCTTCAAAGCCTCCTGGGATTCCATTTGACCTTGCCTTTCCCACCCAGTGGCTCTATCCTATTACGTGGCTTTTTGATCTTAAAAGGTCTCTTTCTAAAATAATTTTCTTTTCATGATAATCACAGTAGAGCACGTTTATTGTAGAAAAAAATCAAGACATCTCAGGTGAAGTTATTTCTTGGTGGTGAGATTGTGGGGTTATTTAGACTTTCTATTTCAGTTTACCTTTTTGGGACACTGTGTACAGATACATAGGTATATAAATATTTTCTCCTTTTCCAGTTAGTGGTTGAGTATATGGGCTTTGGACCCTGAAAACACCTCTTTACCACTTGGCTAGTTTTATGACTTAAGGCAAATCACTTGACCTTTGAGCCTCATTCTTTTCACTTATGAAGTAAGGATGTAGCTATTTGACATAAAATAAGCTCTCAATAATGGTAGGAATTCTCATTCGTTATTTTTATTTTTATAAATTTATTTTTTATTGGTGTTCAATTTGCCAACATATAGAATAACACCCAGTGCTCATCCCATCAAGTGCCCCCCTCAGTGCCCCTCACCCAGTCACCCCCCCCCCCGCCCACCTTCCCTTCCACCACCTCTAGTTCGTTTCCCAGAGTTAGGAGTCTCTCATGTTCTGTCTCCCTCCCTGATATTTCCCACTCATTTTTTCTCCTTTTCCCTTTATTCCCTTTCACTATTTTTTATATTCCCCAAATGTCATTCGTTATTTTTAAAACAGTATTGAGATCATACTCCAGATGCTACAATTTTGTATCAGATAAATATGTAATCTCTCTGTATTGTGCTTGATTTGTACAAACTCTCTCATATTATTAGAATTCTATGATTATGATATAATCAAGATCGTGCAGCTACTTAGTATTAGAGTTAAGACTAGAATCCAGTTTCTCTGTTTCATAATTCAGTGCTGTTTTCAAACTATAACTCTATCCCATGGTACACATTGCTGCAGCAGTGAGCCACAGTTAGGATGAGAGAATGTTATTCTTCAAATGTGCTAGCTAGGGTAGAGAAAATGTAGGAGAAATAATCACATAGTAGGTGGTGAAACAATTATTGGTCCATCAATTGATTATATTCAGTTTTACTAAAGATTGAGGTTGCAGTATCTTGAAAAGACACAAAGTAGTTGTGATATGAGGAAAAGTGATAATAAACACTATAATAATATTATGTATATTGTAAAATAATAGCAAAAGTATTTCTCAGCCAGAGTGAGGTTTAAGAGTCTAATATTTCTCTCTTGCAAACCTGTGGATCTTGTGCACCCTACCTTGGTAGCCACTGTCTTAGAAGAATATGTAGAAGGTTAAAGTTTTGATGCAATAAGTATGTGACCAAGAAATAAGAACTACAAATATGGGATCCCTGGGTGGCACAGCGGTTTAGCGCCCGCCTTTGGCCCAGGGCACGATCCTGGGGACCCGGGATCGAATCCCACGTCGGGCTCCCGGTGCATGGAGCCTGCTTCTCCCTCTGCTTGTATCTCTGCCTCTCTCTCTCTATCTGTGTGACTGTCATAAATAAATAAAAATTAAAAAAAAAAAGAACTACAAATACACAACATAGCATGGATCTTTCTTGTTACAGTGATTATAACCAGTATGTGAAATGTTACCTCGTTCCTATAAGAAATGTGAAATGTTACCTTGTTCCTATGACTATAAGAAATGTGAAATGTTACCTCATTCCTATAAGAACAGATAAGGACTCTTCTTTACCTTGGAGGTAATTGTTAGATGGTTTTTCCTGTAAGGGCTCTTCCAGCTATAAAATTCTGAGAGGTAGAAATTGGGATGAGGGTTTATGGTGGAAGGAACCATTGGTACCTTTCTTTAGTTGAGTCCAAGAATATGAACACATCCAGAAAATACAGATCAGTTTCAGCCTAATGAGAAAATGGGTTTTGAATTGGAGTCTGTATGGTCAATTAAGTGCATGATTTTTCAGTTATAGTACAAATCATCATACTTATAATGTTAGAATTGAAAGATACATACTAGTTCAAGTCCCTTATTTTACACATGGTAAACTGAGGCCCAGAGAAACTTCATGATTTGCCTAAGATTAGACTTCTGTTTAAAGTAATGAGAATTTGAAAAATGAACATATACGTCAAATTTTATTTTTAAAAGTTATATTACAGTGAAGATTTCATATTAAAGAGTTCCAAATTCTAGCAGATAGCCTGTTGTTTAAATCCGGGTTTGATATAGGAAACTATCTTAAAAACAAGAATTTGCATAATGAGTTTGTTAGGATGTGATTTGAGTTATAATTGGAAACACTGTCTGATTCATTGCACTGATTTTCATTTCTTTTTCTTCTAGAATGTCTTGATTGTTGAGGTAAGTTCTACATGCTTTTAATATGCTGTTTATGATTTTCTAACTTAGTATGCACAGTCCTAAAGGTAGTCCAGGGAAAGAAATTCCTCTTCATCAATTTTAATGGTGGGCTTGTGTTATAAGGGAGTGAGATTTTTTTTTGTAAGAAATACTTGGTAATTTCTCTTTATTGGATAATTTATTGGTAATTTGTTGGTATATTTCTTACTCCTCTCTTTTGTGCTTGAAAGTTTTTTCTTTCTTTAAAGTTGATATATATCATTCCCATGCATGTTTTTTAATACTTCTATTGCATGTATATATCCATATGCAAAACATATTTTGTGACTTAATAATTTACATAGTGCTGCACTATACATATTCTCTCTTCCATCTTGTTATTTTCACTCACAGTAAGTTCTGAGGTTATTCATGTTGAGACGTATGTAGTTGGCTTAAAATGCAAAATAGCATTGCAGTATACAAGTCCACCAATTTATTGCCCTATGAATAGGGCAAGTCTTCCATTTTTCATACTATAACAGGTCTGCTGAGAGCATCCTTTTGCAGTACTCGGCCTGCACTTGTGTGAGTTCCTTCTATATACAGGCTTGACTGGATTGTAGAGTTGGTACATTTTCAATTTTGCTGTTATTTGCCAAGTTACTCAACAGAGTGGTTGTATGCTTTATACTCTTACCAGTGGAGTGAGTTCTCATTCTTTATGTAAAATGTTTAAGGCTTAAGAGCACCAATAACCCTTAATTCATTTTTGTTGTTATAAATAGAAACTTAAGCTTATGGATCAAAAACTAAACAGGTGATACTGTTTTCAAGGATTCATGTACATAAATATCCCTGAGAACTGGTTGCTTGGTTGTTGTTGCTGTTGTTGTTTTAAGTAGGCTCCACAGCCAGTGTGAGCCCATTGCAGGGCTTGAACTCTCAGCTCTGAGCTGAGATCAAGAGTTGGATGCTGGGCAGCCCTGGTGGCGCAGCAGTTTAGCGCCGCCTGCAGCCCGGGGTATGATCCTAGAGACCCGGCATCAAGTCCCACGTCAGGCTCCCTGCATGGAGCCTGCTTCTCCCTCTGCCTGTGTCTCTGCCTGTGTCTCTCTCTCTGAATAAATAAATAAAAAATCTTAAAAAAAAGAGTTGGATGCTTAATGGACTGAGCCACCCAGGCACCCCTGGTTGCTTGTTTTTAAATGTAGATTCATTGGATCCCCAGGTGGCTCAGCGGTTTAGCGCCGCCTTCGGCCCAGGTCGTGATCCTGGAGACCCAGGATCGAGTCCCACGTCAGGCTCCCTGCATGGAGCCTGCTTCTCCCTTTGCCTGTGTCTCTGCCTCTCTCTCTGTCTCTGTGTCTCTCATGAATAAATAAATAAAATCTTTAAAAAAAAATAAATGTAGATTCATTAATTCCACTTCAGATCAATTTTGTTTAAGGTAATGCCACCAAACAAATGACCACAAACTTAGCAGCTGAAAATACTACATGTTTAGTGTCTAGGCTTTCACATATCAGGAGCCTGAGTGCAGGTTACCTGGATCTTCTGCTCAGAGTCTCATCAGGTTGAAGTAAGGCTGGAGCTCCTTTCTTACCCAGAGCTCATGATCCTCTTCCAAGTTCATTTAGGTCATTGGCAGAACTTAGTCATTGTGCTTATAGGACCAAGGGCCCCATTTTCTTGCTGGCTGCTCTCCAGGAGTCACTCCCAGCTCCTGAAGCCAACCTCATGTCCTTGCACGTGGCCTTCTCACGTGGTAGCTGACTTCAAAACCAGTGGGAAATCCTCTGTCCAGTATGCTAGAGTTACCTCATATAATATAACTAATCACAGGAGTGACTGTCCCATTACTTTCTCAGGTTGTGCTCACCGTGGGGGTAGAGAGTTATTATGGGTGTGTACACTAGGGGACGAGAGTCTGAGGGCCACTGGAATTCCAGCCACCACAGCCCAGGAATCTACCTTTTTCAGAAGTCTCCAGCCCTGATGTTTCTGATGACTCACAGACCCCTCTTTGTGAAGCACCGCTTTATACCATCTGTGGAATATTTTCATTGAAGAACATTAGGGTTATGGTTTAAGAAGTATTTTCCCAGTTAGGTTTGTTTTGAATAATGTCCTACTTTTGACTAAATAGCTAAGATTCATTTTCATATACAGTCATTTTATATAGTAACACCTTATTAATTTGGATGCTTTCAAGATGGTATAAAGCAGTGTTTCTCAGAGTGTGGTCTATTAACCATCAGCATCCGGGAGGGGGCTACACTGAAAAAAATAGCATTATTCTATTTGCAAATGGGATTTTAGTATTTTGTGTTTATATGACTCCATTTTATTTGCTATTTAAATGTCTTGTTTTTTCTTAAAAGGATATAATTGACACTGGGAAAACAATGCAGACTTTGCTTTCCTTGGTCAAGGAGCATAATCCAAAGATGGTCAAGGTTGCAAGGTATGTATATGACATTTTAACAGGATATTTTCTTCATTTGAAACAGGATTAAGTAATTGTTTCTTTGTAAGTGTAAATGTTCTCAGCTTGTTTCATCTTCAAAAAGTAACGTGATCTCAAATTTAAGACTCCATAAATGTCCTTTGTAAATGATCTTGTCATGTGTTAACGAAGCCCTCCATTGCAGTCATCTCTTTAATACTGTTAACATTTGGTTTCCAGCATGCTAATAATGATGTCAACTTGTCCTGAGTAGCATAGCAGAAGATTCGGGACTTTTCTTGAAGAATTGAGACCAAGGATCCCAAATTGGGGTTAATAGGTAGTAGGAAGGGGGTGGGTTCTGAGGATCCGGAGCTCCTGCAGTTGAATGATGTCGTGTCGACATATGTCATCCTCACCTCCAGGCCCTGCATGTGCTGTTTGGCTTTTGCTTTATTAGTTCTACCTTTGTTTCTAATTTAATTATAATTATACATAATTATAATTGTAGCTTTAATCCCTAACAACTCTGAGGTAGAACTTTTACTCCCATTTTACGCATTAGGATAGCAAGGCATAGGGAATTGTCCAAAGACACAGTGCCGAGCACTCTGTTGGGGTGAGATTTGAACCAGGGCAATGTGGCTTACGGTTCATGCTTTCACACCTTAAGATTTTGGTAGGGTAACACCTAGGGTGGTTTTTTAGACTTTGGCAATTTTATCTTTTCTTTTTAAATCTTTGGCCACTCTAATTTTGGGATGGGGTCAGATAGTAATCGAATTTTTTTCCTAAATGGTTATCTAGGTTTTGATAAACCCCTTTTAAAGGGTCAAAGTATCAAATATTGAGCATCTCTGAATCAGAGTGAGCCTTCTGATGAATCATATGTCAGCAGTTAGTCCTTTGGGGCTTTCCTGATAGCTGATGCCTGTGTGTGTCCCTTTTAGTGGGTTTGGGACAAGTGTGACGGGAGAGTATCTATCAGTGATGCATTCTAAGGCACTGAGTAGCTTCCTCTGAACCAATCAGTGTACTTGCTTATTTCTCTACATGCCCTTTAGGATTTTCAGTGTCACCCTACTGTGGCAAAGGGTGGTCTGTAACCTTTTTCCTAGGGTATGGTGTGGAATTGAGATAGACTGCCTCATGAAAGATTTTGTGTGGCAAGGTGTAGAGTGCTCAGAGAGTACTTAAGTCATTTCTTAGTGATAGAGTTGGCTAAGTCGGTGTTTCTTAACCTTTTTTCCTTAATCCCTCCCTCACCATTAGATTTTAATATCACAGATATATATCTGTTTATGGTTTGTGTGTATCTGTGCTTGATACATAAAGAGAGTAAGCATGGCAGCTTATTCTGAGTAAGCTTAGTCTTTTTATTCAGTGCAGGTTTAAGAATGACTAGATAAAAAATGACTAGACAAGCATTTTATTTATTTTTTATTTTTATTTATTTTAAAAAATATTTTATTTATTTTTTAAAAGATTTTATTTATTTATGCATGAGAGACACAGAAAGAGAGGCAGAGACACAGGCAGAGGGAGGAGAAGCAGGCTCCATGCAAGAAGCCTGATGTGGGACCCGATCCCAGGAATCTGGGATCAGGCCCTGAGCCGAAGGCAGACACTCAACCGCTGAGCCACCCAGGCATCCCAATTTTATTTATTTTTTTAATATTTTATTTATTTATTTGACAGCTAGAAAGTGCACAAGCAGGGGGAGCGGCAGGCAGAGGGAAAAGGAGAAGTAGACTCCCTGCTGAGCAGGAAGCCCAATTTGGGGCTCAATCACAGGACCACAGGATTATGACCTGAGCTGAAGGCAGATGCTTAACCCACTGAGCCACCCAGGTGCCCCTAGATAAGCATTTTAAATTAAAGAGTTCAATTAAAAATTTAAAGACTATTAACTGATAGAAATGTCAAATGGAATGGCTGCTTTGGCAAACGGTTTGTCAGTTTTGTGAGAAACTAAACATGTAGCTGCCATACAACTCCAGCACTTGCATTTATCCCAGAGAAATGAAAACTTAGGTCCTCACAGAAATTCATATATGAAAGCTCATGGCAGCTTCATTTGTAATAGCCCCAAACTGAAAACAACCAAAATGCCCTTCAGTGGGTGAATGGCTAAACACACTGCAGTATACCCTTCCATGGAATCCTACTCAGCAGTACGAAGGAACACCTTATGGATCCACCCAACAACCTCGATGAGTCTCAAGGGAGTTGTGCTGATAAAAGCCAGTCTCGAGGGACGCCTGGGTGGCTTAGTTGCTTAAGTGTCCAACCCTTGATCTTAGCTCAGGTCTTGATCTTTGGGTTGTGTGGAGCCTACTTAAAAAAAAAAAAGCCAATCTCAAAAGGTTACCTACTATATGATTCCATTTATGCAACCTTCTTAAAGTGACAAAATGATAGAAATGGAGAACAGATTAGTGGTTGCCAGGGGTGAGGGAAGTGATAGGGATGTGTGACTATAAATAAAGAGGTTGCGAAAGAGAACCTTGTGTGATGGAAAGTCCTGTTATCTTGAGTGTAGTGGTGGTTACAGTGGTGGTTACATGAATCCACATGTGTGATGAAATTGCACAGGAGTACACACACACACACACACACACACAGAAATATATGTGGGTAAGACTGGTGGACTCTTGATAAAGTCAGTTCCCCAAAGTCCCTGTCTTGGTTGTGGTAATATACCAGTATGGGGGATCCCTGGGTGGCTCAGCGGTTTGGCGCTTGCCTTCGGCCTAGGGCATGGTCCTGGAGTCCCGGGATCGGGTCCCGCGTCGGGATCCCTGCATGGAGCCTGCTTCTCCCTCTGTGTCTCTGCCCCACCCCTCTGTGTGTGTGTGTGTATATCATGAATAAATAAATAAATCTTAAAAAAAATCTACCAGTATGTGAGCTGGTAGTATTGGAGGAAATTGGGCAAAGGGCACATGGGACCTCCCTATGCATTTTTCATGATGTCCTGGGAATCTATAATCATTTCAAAGTGAAAAATTCAAGTAAGCTATTAACATTGGACTTTATATCTGCTTAGTAACTTCTAATAAAGGCATAGCTCGTTTTATTGTGCTTTGCTTAATTGCACTTTGCAGATATTGTGTTTTTTACAGATTGTAGCAACCCGGCATTGAGCGAGTCTGTAGGCGCCATTTTTCCAACAGCATTTGCTCACTTCATGTCTCTGTAACATTTAGATAATTCTTGGAATATTTCAAACTTTTTCACTATTATTATATTTGCTGTGGTGATCTGTAATCAGTGATTATGACTCCTGAAAGCTCAGAGGTGGTGATTAGCATTTTTTAGCAATAAAATGTTTTTAAATTAAGATATCTACATTTTTTAGACATAATGCTATTGCACACTTAGTAGACTGCAGTATAGTGTAAACAACTTTTTTTGCACTGGGAGAACAAAAAATTCATTTGACTTGCTTTATTGTGATACTTGTTTTATTGTGGTGGTCTGAAACCAAACCGGCAAGATCTCTGAGGTATTCCTGTATAGTTTATTTACTTAAACAAATTGTAAAAAAAAAAACAAAACAAAACAAAAGGAAACCTATGTCTGTGTCCCATTCCCAGCAATTCTCATGTAATTGGTCAGCAGTGTGGCCCTGGGTATCTGAGTTTTGTTTTGTTAAAGTTGCCAGGTGATTCTGATGTGTAGCTAAGGTTGAAAATCACTTTATGTCCTTTCCAGCTTTTTTTTTTTTAAGATTTTATTTATTAGAGAGAGCAGAACGAGAGAGTGAGCACGAGCAGTGGGGAAGGGGTGGCCAGGGGCAGAGGCAGAGGGAGAAGCAAGTTCTCCCCACTGAGCAGTTAGCCAGATGAAGGTAGAGGAGGGGGCTCCGAGGGGGCTCAATCCCAGGACTCTGGGATCAACACCTGAGTCAAAGGCAGACGCTTAACCCACTGAGCCACCCAGACACCCCTGTCCTTTCCAGCTCTTTAAATATATTTATCTAAGAAAGTATTAAATCCTAAGTTTTAGTGGGACTGCCCTTAACATATGCAAAGGCTATCAAAACAGTGTCAATAGCTTTTCTTAATGGCTGAAAAATCTCAACAGGTGGTACACACTTGGGTCACAAAACTAGCTTATGTTAGAGGTGGCTTATCCCTACTGTAGTTTTTGCTCTCAAAAATAAATACTAGCTCTTCCAGCATGCTACTTATTTTTTAGCCTAAAGATCTCTATAAGCCACGTATTAAAAGTCTGAAAAGGTGATGCTCACATCTCCTGCACCCATTTGCAGTTTTAGGATTGGATTTCCAGGGATTCTGAAACTGCTCATTGGTACTCCCCATCCATTCATCCTTCAATTCACTGCCCCTCAGTGGGTGCATGAGTAGTCAGGGTGTAGCTCTCAGAACAGCCTATCGTGTTCTGGGTGAGGATCAGTCAAGGGCCTCCTCTGTGGTGTGAACCTACTGCTGCCTCTGCCCAGTGATCCCTGTGGTCTGGCTCCCCGTGTCATAGTCTTTCTTTGGGTGTGTGGAAACCAACCATAGTATTCATGCAGATAAAACCATGTTCTAGAGCATTAATGTTCTCTTTCATAATGCCCTGTCATAGCTCCGTATGTCACATGTTACACTTTGTAATTAACAGCTTGCTGGTGAAAAGGACCCCTCGAAGTGTTGGCTATAAACCCGACTGTAAGTGAATTACTTTTCTGTCAATCATTTAACCATCTTTAACCCAAACAAGTTTCATATGAAATGGCTTAGAGTTACTTTAGAGAGTATTTGTAGAGAAGGCACGTTTGTAAGCATTAGATTTGAAAATGATGTTTTCTGTATCTAAATGATGACTTATGATTCTTTTTAGTTGTTGGATTTGAAATTCCAGACAAGTTTGTTGTAGGATATGCCCTTGACTATAATGAATACTTCAGGGATTTGAATGTAAGTAATGCTTCTTTTTCTCACTCTCATTTTTCAGAACCCATATAAAAATTTACGAAAGAGAAGAATTGTTTTCTCTTTCCAGCACCTCATAATTTGAACAGACTGGTGGTTCCCATTAGACACATAAAGCTGTAGTCAAGTACACACGTCCTTAGAGCTGGAAGTTGGCCAGGCTGGAGTGACACTTCTTGCTGGCTGCAACAGTTGAACAGCTTTAATATACAATAACTGTCCCATTATTATTTCCGATGATAGATGTGGTCATAAGTAAGAAATAAATGAACTGGTTTGAGGCTTTTCACTCATTCTCCTTCAAACACCTGCCTCTGCTGTGTAGGCATGAAGCCTGAGAGTGCTTTTGGGCACCCAGGCAAGGAAGGTTAGGAAGACCACAGCAACCTCTGTTCAGGAAAGACCCTGCAGCACCATACAGTTCACGCAAGCCATGCAGACTGCTTTTCTTGCCTTTCATTTCAGAATATGCTTTTCTAATGCAAATTTCTGGATTTTTATTTTATAGCATGTTTGTGTCATTAGTGAAACTGGAAAAGCAAAATACAAAGCCTAAGATGAGAGTTCGAGTTGAGTTTGGAAGCATCTGGAGTCCCATTGAATTCATACCATCGGTAGAATGTTCTAGTTCTGTGGCCAGCTGCTTAGAGCTTTATTGCATGTATTCTCTCAAGAATTTTATCCGTTTTGTATTTTAGAAATGTCAGTTGCTGCATTCCTGAAGTCTTTATTTGCAATATGAGCTTATAGACTATCCATTCCCTTTGGGTGGATTGTTGTTTGACTTGTGAATGAAAAAAATCTCTTAAACCACACCACTATCGAATGAAAATATTGAAATTGTATCTGTAAGAAACATTTAAAGAGGAGATATATTAGTTTTTTAATTGGTATTTTAATTTTTATATATTCAGGAAAGAACAGAAGTGATTGAATATTGTTAATTATACCACTGTGTGTTTAGAAGAGTAAGGAGCAGTCAGTTTTCATATCAACGACAGCATTTAAAGTATTGTTCTGTTGAATAAAACATATGACCTGGAATTATTTTACTGTTTCAGTAGTATTACCTGTATTTTCTCACTTGTTTGGATGATTTCCGGTGAATCTGTGTCAACAGTTCCTTTTAAATACAAATCAATAAATTCCAAAAAACTTTACCATATTTTGAATTCTTCAGTGTAAAAATCCTTACAATAAAGGCTGTCTCTTTAAAAGAAACTATGCATACCTATCATTTCTCTACAAATTAACCTAGTGTCGTGTTCCATCGGTCACCTTTTCCTTGTCTGTTAAGTTTTAGCAGCTATTTTAATTGTAACCTTTATGAGCACAGCAAATAGTGATTATCTGGTAGAATGGGTTGGTGGAGCTAGTGAAGCTCTTTTTTTTTAGATTATTTATTTATTTATTCATGAGAGACACAGAGAGAGGGAGGGAGGGAGGGAGGGAGGGAGGCAAAGACACAGGCAGAGAGAGAAGCAGGCTCCATGCAGGGAGCCCAATGCGGGACTGGATCCCAAGACCCCAGGATCACGCTCTGGGCTGAAGGCGGCGCTAAACCGCTGAGCCACTGGGCTGCCTGGCTAGTGAAATTCTTACCGACGTCGGGGACATTGAGTTTCAGACCCACAGTATACTTCATTACATGGCACCGTGTTAAAATAACACGGCTTTCTCTTGAAATTCTGTTAAATCATTCAGGCCGAGGTCTCGCGCACATCTCAACAGTTTGCAGACAGGCGCCGCTGCTTTCTTTGTGTAGGTAATACCTTACTGATAAAAGAACGGCACTAACAAAACCTTTTGTTTTCTGGGAGCTGGATGAACAGTTTTAAACCAAAGCTCCCGGTGGCCTCTGTGCTCCAGGTGAGGCGTGAACCGGCAGCCTCGGGAGCCATGGAGCTCCATCGAAGCCTTAGAAAGTTTGCTGTCATTCCCAGTAGCAAAGTAAGGAACTTGAGGTAATAGTAATAATTTGTTACAGCTCGGAACTCCCTGGTTTATCAGACCTTTTCACTTTTGTTATCTCACTTCATCTTCATAACCCTGTGACATTGGGGTTGGTGTTGGCACACCTGGGGGTGGCGTTTGCCCTAACTCCTGATTCCTCCCCTCAGCCCCTCCCCTCCCCTCCCCTCCCCTCCCCTCCCCTCCTGGTAGGCTACCCCCTTTAGCTGCCTCCTACCACCCATCCCGCTTCCCTCCCCTTTCCAGGTGTGCTTCCCACCTTCTGTTAGGTCGAACCATGTGAAATGACCATTCTTGTAGATAAAAACAACAACAATAACAACAAAACTGTTGGCTGTTGGCAGTTTCAAGTGGCGTAACCTAAAAACATGCATGTGACTTACATTTGTATGTATGGTTTACTATTGGTCTCCCCACTTTACATCTTCTAGAATGTAAGCTCCATAAAGAAGACAAGAATTATTTCTGTCTTGTCCACTGACGTATACTCGGTCTTGATGATCCTGGGGGCCCAGATGATGATTGTTGAATGAATGAGTAGCTAAGAGCTCTGGGTTAGACCGCCCTGGCCTTTGCTTCTTATTAGCTCTGTGACATTGAGGTGCTGGCTTTGGGACCTGTTTTCTCAGCTGATAAATGGGCACAACACTGTCTCTTTACAGGCATTTTGTGAGCGGCAATTAGCTGTCCTAGTGCAGGTAAAACAGGATGGTGGCCGGGGACCTAACACGTGCTCCATAAACTGTAGTTGATGTTGAAAGAAAATGTTTTGAGGAGTAAGGTGCATAGAAAGTGAGCGGCAGAGACTTAGACAGATCTGTCTGATGCTTGCTACTCTAGCATGAGGAGACTCAGCTGTTTCTCCGGACTCACTCGAACTCGAGTTTCTGGTTAGGTCATGTTTTAGCTGATTGTCACACCCATCAAGAATCCCAGCTAACAGGAAGGAAAGGCCTGGGAAGCACATCCACTTATCTCGGAAGGAGACTTCCTCAGACCTTCCTTCACCTGCCATTAGGGTGCACGTTTCCAGTAATCTAATTTCCTTTACCAACTTGTAACAGATCATACATAGTACATTTCTAGGATGGCGGAAGGAGCTCACTGACGGGAGCAGCAGTAATTTCTGGAGTGACAGTTGATCAAGAGAGGAAAAGTACTAAACAGAAAAGAAGCTAAAGCCTCCTGGGGCCACTTAGTCATTTAGCCTGGGAGCAACAGGTCACAGAAGTCACATGTCCGTAATCCCCGGGGCTGCACTTTCATTAGTCTCGTGTCATAGGGATGTTCATGAGGAAAGGAAAATGAGACTTCATTTGCTTGCTATTAGGGGATAGGGAAACCTGGAGTCTGTTTTAGGAATCTTACCATATATAAGGTAATGTAGGTGCTTAAAGGAGAGTTAAGCCTTGGTGACCTAGAAGATTCGTGTGTGCCAAACCCTCCATGTGTTCCCATATTGTGAACATAAGGACTTACATGTGAAGATCGTATGTGTCACACCTATAAACATGGGTAGGTCCCCATTTTAATTCAGTGTGTGAAGATATGTAGATCATCTGACCTTCTGCTCATTCGTTAGCTTGGGAAGTTAGTAAATGTCCTTCCCTGCATTTAAGATTCTAGAAACACACTGAGCGCCCTCTGGATGCTAGGTACTGGGAAGGACAGGCAGGGTTCCTGGTGTGTGTGTGTGTGTGTGTGTGTGTGTGTGTGTGTGTGTGTGTGTGTAGCGTGGTGGGACCAGACACCAGGAAGGAGGGCCAAGGCCAGACCTGGGTGGTGTGCTGGGCTGTGGCAAGGAGCTTGGATTTTCTGCACTCTGCTGTGCTTGGCACCAAAGGGTTTTTAAGTAGAAGGTGGTGATTAAGATTTTATTTGCAGTTTTAAAGGCATAAGAATCTCCCAGAGCAGTTCTGAAAGTAGGTGCGGGGCTTCTGAAATAAAACCAGCACCATCAGGGGTCACAGCTCTCTCGTGGTTGTTCTCATGGGTGTTACATGTGGCGCTGAGTGCTTCATATCCATTACGTTTACTTACAGCACATTTCACAGAAGAGACCATATCAGAGGTTCAGTTATCAGGTTAATTGGGGGGAGGCTGCCAGAGACAAATTGGCCACCGTTTCTTCCCTGAATGACTGCAGTCCTGTCTCCAGGTCCCATCCTTGCCCCTGGACAGACCCCCACATCGTCTCAATGCAGCAGTCAGAGCGAGTCTAAGGAAGAGGTTGGGTCTGGCTCAGATGCTTCCTGTGGCTCCCGGTTTTGGAGTGAAAGGCCGGTGAAAGGTCCTTCCAAGGGTGGATGATGTGCTCTTCCCCGCCTTGCTGCCCGGGCACCCTGGCTATGCCACCACTGGGAGCATGCTCAGCTCACCCTGGAATCGCTCATGTGAGTGGCCACCACTGCATTCACTCTAGCACTTGGAAGGCTGCTCTCCCCACCCCCACCCTGCCCCCCTATGCTGTAGGCCAGCCCCTCTTTTCTTACTTGAGGTCTACTTGATTTTTGGACGATAATCTTTTAGAAATAGAAATCACAGATGCCTAGGTGGCTCGGTCGGTTATGCATCTGCCTTCAGCTCTGGTGGTCATCTTGGGGTCTTGAGATCAAGTCCAGGGTGGGGTTCCCTGCTCAGTGGAGAGTCTGCTTCTCCCTCTCACTCTGCCTGCTGCTCCCCCTGCTTGTGCTCTCCATCTTTCTCTCTCAAATGAATAATATCTTTAAAAAACTTTTTAAAAAACAGGTTATATCACTTGCCTGGTTAACACTTGAAAACTCAGGCTGACCCGTGGCCACTCACATCATTTGTCCCTCCTTGCTCACCCACTTCAGCCCCACTGCTCTTCCTGTAGTTCCTCAGAGCTGCCTTTACCTCCCCCTTGCCTCAGGGCCTCCGTTACTGCTGTTCCTTCTGCCTGTCACTCAGTTCCCTCAGATCAACCGGGCTGGTTCACGTTCATACCCTTCCCCTATCTCCTGCTCTAACAGCCTCAAAGTCACCCTCCGTGACATGACCTGTTTCCTCGTGATCCTCAGCACCGTCAGGTGGTCACACAGTCCCCACAGGGCAGCTGCAGCTGCTGCTTGCCGTAGACTTGGCTGGGAAGGTAACTGCCCAGTGGGTGCGGATAGTTTATTCCCTAGCAGGAGCAAGATCAACACAGTGCAGCTGCGCTGCATCCCCAGTCCCACGGGGATGGCGCCCAAGTGGAGAGGACAGAAGACACAAACGCTAGTTGCCCTGCTGTGGAGGAGCCACCTCCATACTCCAGCTAAATGATTTTATGGCCTGCAGCTCTAGCCTAATTCAGGAGGCAAGGTGGAAGGTCCCATGCCTGAGCCCAAACCAGGGAGGCAAGTGAGAACCTGCCTCATGCCAGAGCCTGCGAGATAAGGATGGGGATGACAAACAGCCTGGGGACAGCTCCTCACAAGGCTGCTTGCCTCACCTTGTTCCTGGGAAGGGTCACAGGGTGTTGGAGACTTGGGTCAAACGGCAGTTGACTCTGTTTGCATGGCCAATGTGGTGACATCTGTGGCAGAGCTGTTCCCTTTTAAGCACCTGCCAAATTGATCTTTCTCTGTTTCTTGCCACTCTTCCCTGCTATGTCTCCAACACTTACAAGACGGCCTGGAAGAAGACAGTGCTCAAGAAGTATCTATTGGATAAATGATAAACAAATAAAATATTTAAAAGTTATATCCGAATTACCTAGAATTAGAAGCAAAGGTTTTCTTAAGTTGAGCAAAAAAAAAAAAAAAAACAACAAACAAACAAACAAAAAACCAACCCAAACAAAAACTAAACAAAAAACTAATTTTATTTCTTGTTAATACTAGCTAGCATTTCTTGAATTATTATCATATGCAATGGAACCATACTAAGCACTGTTGAATCTTTATATATATATGAAGTAGATGTTTTTTAAAATCATCCTGATTTTACAGATGAAAAAATGCAGGCCCAGAGAGGTTGCAGGATTTGCCCAGGATCACACAGCTAGACATGGCAGATGAGGAATTTGAACGCAAGCAGTCTTATTCTGGAACCTGCCCTCTTAGTCCACTGCCACTTAACCTTCAGTGCCCAGCTCTTGTGTGGAAACTAATACACTGACAGCATAGAAAAAAATATTAAGCTCATTGAAGGTAATAATTCCAAGTGACTTGTACATTAAACAGCT